GAGCGTCAATATTTTCACATTACACTTAAAATTTAAAAATTTATTAAAGTCTACAACTCATTCGTAAGGCAGATTGCCCTGAGAAGAATGATTATGAAACTCTAGGGGTTGCTCCTTGTAAATATTAGTATAATTTAATTGACTTATAAATTTCACATAAAATTTCAATTTATAATTTTAATTATATTATGAATATACTTCAATCATAATCTAAAAATATTGTATTTTATTATATTTACATTATCTTTCGTATTCATTTAGTTTCGAATTTATTATTTGTTTAGTTTATACAACATGCAAATGGCGTCAGGGAGCTGGTTATCGTATCCGCGGCACCCTCTAGGTTATAGCTGAAAATCAGCGGTTTGCTCTTAAGTGTTTACTTAAGTCAGAAAAGTCAGTGGTCAGTGGTTACTGACGCTGAGCTATGGCCTTTTTGCACTGCTGCAGCACACATATGTAACTGGGTGTCAAGCAGTGCTGCAACTCTGCTGTTTTTTCTTTTTTTTTACTTATTTTTGTGTTATGTATATGTGTCTGTAGATCCAAATAAACATTTTATCTATCAATCTATCTAATCTATTGATGTCTGACAAATTCACACAAAAGGTAATTGTTACAGGAAAAAGTTGGTGGAAGAAAGTGGACCATTCCAGGGACATCCTTGAGGTCTTAGATAACCATCAGCCTTTGGCCACCAATAATGTCATGGAAGAGTTTGATGTTGAGATTTTGAGGTAATGCTTGTAATCTTGGTACTTTATGATGAAATCTATATAAATATGCGTCACAATTACCGAGCAACCTATTTTCTTCTTATTAGCTTCTTATTTTAGAGTCCCATGTTCAGAAGGTAGTATCGTAGACTTGTGTAAGTATCATAATCCCAGGCAAATTGTATGTGTGATTCTATAACATTATAACTAGAGATTTGATTTTGTAAATCGAATACAGCACTATTAACGAAAAATTTTTTTTTTCCAGTCAAGAGAAAAAAAACTATACCTTGGACATGCCAGAAAGTAGTGACAGTGAATCCATCAGTAGCATTGTAATTCCACAGAGAAAGCTGTTCACCCAGAAAGAGAACCTACATCAAAAAATGTTTGGCCGAGTTTTCGGAGCTGGGACAAGAGAAACTCTATCACAACAAAATAAGACCAACATAGCAGACAAGACTGCCAATGTAGGCCCAAAAAAATTATTTAACCAGGGGCCTAAACGATCTAAACCTGTATTTCCTGCCGCATTACTGAATATGTCACCAGATAAAACAGTTTCTAACAAAACTACAGAAATGGCAGCAGGACTAAAAGTACCATCGAGACATCTGTTTGGCAATCGCCCTAGTACAAAAAGAAAGAATATGTTTGCAGATTTCGTTGTCTCAGAGAGTGAAGATGATATATCAGAGGTGCAACCAAAAATGTTTGCTTTTGCACTCAATAAGAACCCAGTTAGACACAGCAGATCTATGTCTCGTGGAATTCGAGAACCGTCGCCTACTTCAAGTATTACCACAACTGACATAGAAATGGATGATTGGAATATGTTGCCCTCGTCTACAATGGTTGAACAGCAACTGGAAGCTGCTATGCCTGCTTCTACTCCCAGAAAACGTTCCCGGCTTAGCAAACTGTCTGAAGCATTAAAGTCTGTTAATACTATATCAACTGCAATGCAAGAAGTTAACAACCATCAAGGAATAGAGGCCGAAGTACGAAATAACGTAGAAACTAGCCAAAAAGGAATTAAAACTGCTGATGTTAGTGACAAAACCAAAGATGATGTGGCAATGGAAGGCTTTTACAATGAAAATCAAGAGCAGGTAATTGAACATGATGATAAGGAATGTGAAGACAACAGACTTTTACAAAATGGAAATGATATGGTGATACCCGAATACAAAGGCCACGATGAAGCCCTTAGTCAGCCAGGAAAACGTACCCGGCTTAGCAAACGTTCTGAAGGATTAATACCATTGGAAGAAGCTAAACGTCATGAGGAAGTTGAGGCTGAGATAGAAAAGAACATAAAAGCTAGCCAACAAGAGACAGAAGCTTGTATTAATGGCAAGGCTGAAAGTGACTTGGCACTGGAAAGTAATCACGAAGAAAATCAGGAGAAAGAAATTATACAGGATAATATGTATAACGAACTTGAACAACAACAAAAACATAGTAAGGAGATATCCCAAAATAAAAGCAAGGCAATAGAATTTGAAGATGAATATCAAGAGACCGAAGGAGACCAGAACGAAAGTAAAAAAGTAGAAGACGAAGAGCAAAATGAAAACGAAGATAATGAAGATGAAGAAGAAAGTGAAATCGAGGAAAATGAAGGCAAAGAACAAAGTGAAATCGAAGATAATGAAGATGAAGAAGAAAGAGAAATCGAGGAAAGTGAAGACAAAGACCAAAATGAAATCGAAGAAAATGAAGACGAAGAGCAAAATAAAACCGAAGAAAATGAAGACGAAGAGCAAAATGAAATCGAAGAAAATGAACATGAAGAGCATAATGAAAGTCAAGTAGAAGAAATTTATGAAGAAGAGGAACAAGTTCGAAATGAAAGTATAGAGGTTGAAGAACAGGAAGACGTCGAAGAACAAAATGAACATCAAGAAATGCAAAGGCACGAAGAAGTGGACGAAAGTGAGGACATTGACAATCAGGAAAATGAAGAAAGCGAAGATAATGAAGAAGAGCAAAATGAAAGTCAAGAAGTAGAAGAAAGGTCCGCAACAGATGATGAGGTTCATAATGAAAGTCAAGAGCTCGAACTACAAGAAGCCGAAGAACACGAAAGCGAGAATGAAATCGAACAAGGTGATATTATCGATGACAGTGAAGAAGCTCAAATTGAGGATGCGCAGGATGATCAGAAACTAGTATATGAAGATGATGATGAGGAGCAAAAAGATGGAGTGCAAAATGATAAAGATCAAATCGGAAATGAAAGCGAATCGCCAAATATGTCTCACGACACGACTGGCAGAAACCGACAAAAACAAAGCAACACGGCATCTCCTGAAGCCATCCTTCATAACATAACAAATGAAATGGATACGTTTACAGCCAAAGGTCGAAACACTAGCATTCGAAAAACAAAGAGTATTTTAAAAAACTTTACTATCAGACCAAGTCTTGCACCTCTGAAAGACAGTACTGGTTTCAGCGATGGCACAAAGAATTCCAGTGCTGAAGGCTCAGGGTGGGACTCTCATAGAACTACGCGTAGAACGCTTCGACAAACTTTTGGTAAAGATTTTACTCCAAGAAAATCACTAAGGGCGTTGGTCATGGAGAAATCGGCTAAGCGACAAACACTAATTGATGCAGCTAATGCTAATTTACAAGAAGCTGAGCCATCTGTAGATGAAAGTGACCATCAAGATATGCAAGTAGCCGAAGACCAAATTGATTACGAAGAGAATGCTCAGGAGATAGAAGAATCTGCGCACGAAGTCTCCAGACGTACTAGGCAAATAACACTTGAAATGTATTTACAGAAAATAAAGAAAAATAACATGGAAAGAAAGCTTAAAATTGTAAGTATATCTTATTTTGCTTCCTTGATGGTATCGTCTGTTTAAAGGTAAAACCACACAAGTGATATTTTCCACACAAGTCTTAATTTATTTATCTATGCTAAGAAAGACATCTGCAGAAAGATGGTGAATTTGTTACAACTGGTATATAATTGTAGAGATTTTTTCGTGGAAAATGTCACTAATGTGGTTTTACCTGTAAGCAGACGATATGGTGCAGGATTATTTGTTACATTTTAGTGATTATTTTTTATCAAGCATAAAAAATAATCACTAAAATTGCGCACTTCATCTTTTTGTTCACATTTGCATTGTGAACTTTTTTTTATTATGTCATCATGTTTCTACATTTTATTCTTTACACAGATTTGTAATTTACAAAAACGATTCTACTTCACACAATAACCTTTATAAATAATTTTAAGGGAAATTGAAATTTTGTTTAAATGATGGACCTAAAATATCACAATATTACCAACCCTACATTGTATACCAGTTTATTTATGTAAGTTTACCTAATTATGGCAAATGTTCTATCATCTGTTTACAGGAAGAACAAGTACGAAATTCGTTCAAAACCGACCCTCTCAAGGATATAATGAACTTCCGAGTACCATCGAAACAACGCCGTCCTAACGCAAAACCATTCAAGTCTCTTATGACAGCTCCAAAAGTGAAAAGAATCAGGTCAAATCTGATATCTTTGGAGGATCTGCCACCAGAACTCATTGAGGATATGAAGTATAAACCTCCAAAAAGATTCCGACCTAGCAATGCGTCTTGGATAACAAATCGATTGTACAAATTTTTGGAGAGCAAATTAGAAACTAGGTAAGCCATATAACATAAAATATCGAGCAGTTTCGTGGCTTTTCGTTAATTCTTAGTTTAGGATAACTTTCTTGAGATATTGTTTATACTAACTAAACATATGTGTTTAGATGTTCAAAACAAAATAGGATATTTTACGAAACACAAAATGCAAAAGACTAACTACATACATACTAGAGATGTGCACTGATCGTAAAGTCGGTGGCGGCGTGTGATGGTTTTCCAACCGGCGGCGACGGCGTTATCGGCGTGGCATTTATTTTTAAGATGTTTAAAAAATCACTAAAAGATAGCTTAAATCAACTTTTGTATTTATTTTCAACTTTTTAGCAGATATGTAGATTGGTTACCTTTAATAAAACTGATCAACTTAAAGAAATTAATATCGGACATAACTTATTGATGACCTTAGTTATTAGTCAGCTGTGATCACGGGATCTGTGAAAGGCCCGAAACATTGATTTGTTTGAATATGTAAATACGTATACGCGATTTTGATCCGAAAAAAGTAGTTGTACTTCCAACTTAAAGAAAGTTTGAAGACAATGATCACATTAAAACAAACGCTCTTAATTTAAATCTACTATGAATATGATGTATACACATACACATATACACAGGATCGTAATTCATTTTAATTGTACGGAAATATAGTTAACAAAGAAGCTTTATTAAAATACAACAAATTTTCGCCACGCCGATTTTACGTCGGTGAAATCATCGGCGGGGGTGGCGCGACGAACATGTCTACTACATACATAGATACTCATTTAAAACTAAGCATAAAATTAAGTATACCTTTATTGTATATAATAATATACTTCCGAACACATAATTCGAGTAGTGTTGCCAGGTTTTTGCGAAGTTAATTCGCCAATTTATTTGTGTTAAGTAGCCAATATTCGCCCAAGCTATAAAATCCCTAAAAATCAAGGAAAATAATTCTACAATTCTGCTTGCTGCCGGAAATTGGGGAATATGAACTCTCTTATTTCCCGAATTCCCCACACGTAGAAATACTCAAACCCCCAAGTAAGTTGTTTTACAACTCCATTCCCCACAACACCTCCAATCAAGTTTGTAATTCCCCAGACATTTTATTAAGTAGCCTAAAATCGCCTTTGTCTATTTCAAACAGCCTAAATATCGCCAAGTCGCCGAGTTATTTTCAAAAGGTTTTGTTGAAAATTTTAATTGCGAAACCGGGAAAAACTTTCTTCAATGATAATAATATATTTTTTATTCTAGCACTTGAAAATAAAAATGCAAGGTGGCTCGATTTATGTGTCCGGGAGTGTATAAACAAATTCCACTTCAAATCGCAATTTGATTAAATAGAGAAGAATGACTAGGAAACTCTAGCAGTTGCTAAAGTTTCACAGAGAGTGCGGTGGAATTAATTGAACGATTTAATCATCGGGTGACTAGACGTAGGCTGAAGTTCCACCCCTATGTTGTGGATATTTCAAAGATTCGCACGAAGCATTACAATTCCACATTAATATGACGAACGGCTACGAAGTGGAATTCCTTGCCTGCAGACTTATTATTCCCTGAACACTAACTTTAGCCTTTTCAAGGCGAGTGTTAATAGGCATTATTTAGGTGCATGCTCCATCGACGACCTCATCGCACTTATTTTATAATAAAAAAAAATTAATCAAGCAACCATGTTTAAAACTCAATTACTATATATATTATTATGATTAAAACACTTTATTATTATTATACAATACTTGTATTACTCAGGTACGATTACAAAGCCCGCGTAAGGTCAGAGGCGTTAGTACAAGTGATATACAACTTCGTCCGCGATACCCGCCGCGACCGCATCGCGCCATCCCACATGGTCAACGAGCTGAAGAGAGAGATGGCACGGCTCGACATTGTTAAAACCCATGCCGATTTCTATAATTTCTTCCATGAATACTTGCCCAAGGAGGTTAATCTTAAGGTAATTATTTAATGTTTTTATTTCGTCGCTCCATAGCAAGATTTTGTTGTGGAAGAATTCGTGCAGGAAGGACTGCCACCTTACCTATTATTGCTAACGCCAAGCAGTAATGTTAGCTTTATTGCGTTCTGGTTTAGTAGGCTGCTGGTGAAATTACAAGTATATGAGACTTATCAACTTATGTCTCAGGGTGACGGACGCAGTGGCAGTGCCAGTGCTCCTCAGATTTTTGTTTTAAAGCTTTGAGTGGCATGGCAACTGTTATTGACAAGCCTGTCGCTTACCATCAGGCGCACGACTTGTTCGTCCCGTCACTTTACCAAGTTAAAACTTACCTCATTAGAAAAAAAGTGACAGTCGAGGATAAAAATCATAGTTGCTAATTATCACTACCTTTAATGATAGAGGAAAATAATCATAATTAATTCTGCATGCTTAATCATCATAGACGGTTCATAAACTTCTTCGAGTCTTGTGAAATACTGGCTTAATTCAGACAGGGGTCTGAATTAAGCCAGCACGAAGAACTATGGCGTAAACTCCTCTTAGAGAAACGAGACGTATACGAGTTGACAGGGATGAGGTTAGATTTGACATGTTAAGTATTTCTATTTTCTTAACCCTCTGTCTGTCGCACACTTTCACTATACGCATATTGTAGGGATTTGACCCCAAGAAGTCCAAACCCTACAAAATTATATTTTCAAACTTTCATTGTAATATTTTTTTATAATTAAGTTTTATAAATAACAAACAAATAGAATTTCAAATGTAAATATTAAAATCTTTATTAATTTGTAAATTAATATGCACTTTAAAAATAGGATCTTTATTTTTAATTGGGATTCGGGGATCACGAAATAAAAATCTACTGCAACATCTAAAACTAAAATCTTTTTTCTTTCCTAAAACGTTTTAAAGAATATAATAAAAAATATTGAACAAAAAAACCCAATAAAAAAAACTTTTGTAATGGGACAGGCACACAAATTTTCACTCTCCAATTATATCCAATTAAATCGTAAGATTTTAAGATGTAATAACAATAATTATTATTAATGCCAAAAGTTGATTCCATTAGGGTTGAACCCCAGTTGTCAATCCGCACCACGTTCATACTAAACAGGTTTTTTTTATATGGAGTATCTTCAACACACAACGCTGAAACGTGTACAAAATGCCTGTTTCGTATTGACGCGCCAGCGCCGTGCGTGGTGACAATTCCCATCTTAAAGGTGGAAGCGAATTTTTGTAACGACATTGTACGTAGCATATTGATCTTTATGGTCAATTGTGTAACGTACAAACTAGATACGAGCCAAAATCTTCTGGGGAATGCGCGAGCAATCTCACGCTTACATTCCGTTCCGCCGCAATATAAATTGAGCCTTAACTTTTTGTATCCACGTTCACGTAAGTTATTTAGAAAATATAAATTTTAATTGAATATTTCGGTAATACGGTGGTGATACGTGTTGTAGTGAGGTGCGACGCTTAATTGTAATATTACTGTTTATTGCGCTTTAAGGTGACTTTTTTGCGTAATATAATTTACGATCTATGGACATGTAATAGTAAATATTTCCTCAGCGTTCTCACTGCAGATCTTTCCACATGTAATGTGAAAGATCAGAGTAAAAGCAAGTTGTAAAGAAATTAAGACTTATGCTCAGAACAACAAATTTAGATTTAATTTTATTTGCAGGTGATACCAGACGTTCTGAACGACATACCACTTCCAAAAGACGGAGTGTTCTCGGATATAATAGTGTCTTAAGAATTTTACACCCAAAAAAACAAAGATATTCACTTTGGGAACTGGACTTTTGGAGTATATTCATTAGACTATCGGCTACCCAGTTGTTCAGAAAAAGGGCGCTTTCAAATTGACGCTTATAGACGCTGCAGTCGCGCCGCCACTACTAATTTTCATACAATATTTAGAAGCGCAGCTGTAGCGCCGCTGTAGCACACGCGCTCGCCATTTAAGTGAAGTAAAAATTACTGAAGTGCTTCTACAAGCGACTAATTTGAAGGCGCCCTAAAATCTCATGTATTTTTGAACTACGTTAATAGTGACAATCTATAGAATTTAACATTTCATACTGAATATAAAGCTGATTTTCAGAGCGTTCGAGGTCGGAAACAGACGCGAGATTAGACACACAATAGACTGTTTAAGTCAATAAACGAGTCTCGCGCGCGGATGTCTACATGTAATGGTCGATGCTTTAATATATTGAATTAGCCAGTTTATCGTGAGACGAGTTGAGTCCGGGTTAGCGGGTTAGGATGCCTTCAAATTAGACGCGAGTGCTTCAGTAATATTTAGTTCACTAATTGTGATTGCAAAACAGACGCACGTGTGGCACGACAGTGGTGCCACTGCAGTGCTTCTATAATAAGAGTATAATTTGAAGGCGCCCCTGTGGTTACCGATTTCTTTCTAATATATAATACTTTTCTTGTAATGGCAATATGAACAGTGATGTGAATAGCCATTTCAGAGACCAAAAGTAAATTTCATCTTTTTAATAGTAATTGTAAAGGGACGGCATTATTTTCAAACTCTGTCCAAAAGTAGATAAGTTGTGCTTGTTCTTCTTTACTAATATTTTGTTGTAACTGAGTAAATATTATTGTATGAACTGATTTTTATTTTTATTATGTTTCGGAATTGTTCATTAATACGTAGATTAAATGCTATGATTATACAGTTGTGTTTTTTTCCAGGTAACCTACGTTTTTATAATTTTGGGCGCTATTTGCGTTCTATGTATGTACATAATTTATGTTTTATTAATTGACACTTTTCAGTTAAATAATCAAATTTAATTGACAGGATTTTAAACCAATCACTTGCAACCAACTGGCTGCCAGACTGACTGACATGTTATATAAAAAATAAAAAAGAAACGCTCCTTACAATATACAAAGCATATTTGAAAACCGAGACGATTTCATTGAATCCATAATATACCTATAGTGCATGGTGTGACGCCTATAAAAGGGCCTATGCCGCGAGCGGCGCAAGCAAAGTGAATGGGCTATTGCTTCACAACATCATTTGCTCCCGAATTTCCAATTTAATCGCGTGCCTACTAGACGGTGCCAAGATATTGATTACACCCGGGCGCTAGCGCTATATGTTAGCACCGTACTTTTTTAGCTTATTACTCGTGCATATCGACACTGTAAAGGTAAAACGTCTGACGTGCATTAAAAAAATATTTTTTTAAGAAAAATTTAAAAAATCAACGTATTTGTGATAAGGAAAAGCTGAGACTTTCTAGTTTTCCATACTCGTGTAACAAATAAAATTAGAGTCAGGATTTTTTTTATATTTACCAAATGCACGATAGATGTTTTTTTACCTTTCCAGCGTCTCGATACTATGTGAAGATAAGTCGCTCGGTACCGACTCCGACAATAAGCAATAACAGGCACAATCAAGAGCACATCATTGACACAATTAGGACCAATATTATCGCCAGCGGCATAAAGGTGAATATTTGACGTGCGCCTGAGCTAAAAAGTCGAATAATTACGTAAAATATCACTGCACTTTAACAACACTGACTGAACGCTAGCACCACTTCACCACCTTTTTCTGTGTTAGATAAATGTTTAACCTACTTGAGCCATCACTTCAGAACTGAAGCAGCCTCGTGTCGTGGCTCCATTGCCGGAACCAATACCGAACTTCAAAATAGATACATATTTATTGGTTTCAGAAATGTTACATACATACAAAACAGTCACAATTACGTGCATTTGGCAGTCGCCGACACAATAAATAAGTAGTATTTAGCACGTAGTACATAGTATCGGGAAAGATACGTAAAAAAAAAACAATCGTATATGTAGGGCTTATATATTTCGAAAATAGCAGGGTATAAATGTAAACCTATGTTATACAACGGAGCACCATACACATACAAATTATATTGCAATACGTACGCAGTTACAGACATGATACAAAGTTAACTGAATATGAAAAATACATCTCGCTTACATCTATTCTTATTTATTTGTTGACAGAATAAAAGCAAATTATTTCTGCAATTTCAACATAGTGTGTGGTATATCAATATACATATAGTCAATATCGAAGGTCTCTGACAAGTTTGATATTTTCACAAAGGGTTCTTTTTTTTCAATGTATTATAAGTTAGTAAGGCGTACAAAACGAAGGTATTCATCGACTTTTGATACTGACTGTACATAAAGAAATAATTTTCAAACTGAATTTGCTAATTATAAGACCTGAGTCCGGTTTTAACATACCTATTTTCTTAGATATAGGCAAACCTGAAAATTACGTAAAACCATAGTATAATAAAAACAAGTAGGGCAATTTCTGCCTGTTCGGCGTCATCAATGACTTCTTGTCGCTCTGAGGGTAGGGTTGTCACAATATTATTTTAGTTGTATCTACAGATTGTAAACAATTTGAAAAAATTAACGTATTCATCACAGTATTCTCGTGCTATATTGAAATAACCTTTGTTAAATGCACCAGACACTTAAGTATTGATATTTTTATACCAGCATCGCGGATTAGTGTCTCGATTGTAGGAGTATGATTATGAAATAGTAATGAATCCTATAATATATATAATAATATAACAATCCTGAATTTGAGTCACTCTTGTTCAAACCACAATGAACACAACACCTCCTCGTACCTTTCTACATAACTTGTGACTACAGTGATCCTTCGTACCCAACCTTACGGTATACGAGAAGGGCACTAGAACCTGTGCGTGCACAGGAACCTTCTAAGTTCAGTTTCTGACCCCAGATCAGCCAGTGTACAGGGTTGTCCAGACCGTTGCAATACACCCGAGACTAGTGTACCCTACAGTACCCTATTTTCCACATAGGTACCAACCGTAAACACAACAATAAACACTACTTTTTACTATTTGATGTAATTTTCGAAACACCAAGCGAATGCTTAAATTCTGTAATGAATTAAGTGTGCGATGACCCGCGCTAAGCAACGTGAGTGCGCCGCGAGATTATACAAATGTGTGCGTCCATACAAGGCGCGTGGCGAATGTGCACACATACAAACCGCGCTGCTACGTTTGTATACCCTACTTGTCTTATTATCAGTGATAGGAATTGAGGGAGTTAATTTAACTAAACTCAGCAATAACGAGAACATTCCCTTCTACAAATCCCGGGACTTCTGGGAACTGATTGTATTTGAATATGCGTATTATTTATTGAAATTTGAGTACGTTGGCGACAAATTATTATTTACTAATAAGTATGTGCTACAAGTTATTGTCTCAAAAAATAATATTGTAGTTGTGTTTCTATAGGTAATTACGTATTTAAATAAATAACCATTTAAAAAATAACCATGGGATAAACCTATCTTTTGGAATGCTTAAAAAAAAAGAAATTTTATAGGCAGTGATGATGAAATGGGTATGTCCATACTAAGAAAACGTTCATACTTTAGGTAAATTAATTCTGTCATATCTGATCACTGTTTATTATACTATGCTAATACTCAGGAAGTGTCTCCATCATTCTATTTTAAACAATTTTATGCAATGCACGAAATATTTTCTAACCTTACAAAATGAAACTATACATTATAAAATACGTTTTGAATACGTCATATCGCACCGTTAATAAAAATCTTTTCTATTACACATAGAATATAGTCGTCATATTTGGGACTAAAGTAAAAGGCTTTTTGTATGGTGTGTACAGTCTATGCCCTAAGATACCTGACCTTTTGGTACCGAGAGCCTTCTAACACATACAATAGAAAAGTCTAAAGGAATTCTAGCTTTTTGGTCGATATTTGTGTTTATGTAATGTAATTATAGATGAATCTGACTTAAAAAGTTTATTTTCGCTAAATCTTCATTTATTTAGGTACTTTGATTATTATTAAAAAACAATAATCAAGAAAACAATAGAATCTACACCACAATCAAGGTTCAGAAACTTTTTGACTCACCGCCCATTTAGGCAAGATAAAAAAACCCAACGCCCACCACCACAAGAAATAATTAAAAACACGTATTTTTTATATTAGTTTAACACAAAAAAATCATAAAGAAAAACAAATTGTAGTGTAGTTTATATAGATAATTCTTTTTGTTTCAAATGTGGTAGCACCGCCTGGACAGCATCAACGCCCCCAATTGCGTCTGAGGCCCCTAACTCCGGGGGGCGGTAGCAACCACTTTGGGAAACTATGATCTAAACAGATAAATCGAAATACTATTTAGCCAAACATGTACTACTTAAACTATATCTTCTCGGCACTACTTGTTGACTCAGACAAATCTTAAAACGCCATTCACTTTGACGCAATAAGGAAGTCATACGGAAATGCATTTTACGGCTCTCTGGTTAAAGGTAAAGTTAAACACTTTTCTTCAGACTGATCGACTCAAATAGTCGGTTAGGGGGATCAGATATTTTAGGGCAGCGACTGTACTTTTTAAATTTGTTTTATCATTTATTCAAAAATATTAGGTACTTTTCTTCGTCACGTCATTATTGAGGATGCGATTAGAAAATAATTTTAATATTTTTTTGTGAAAAATAACTCTAAAATCTATGGACTGTAGAGCGTATCCTAACTGAACATTTAAATACCTATACGAACACTGTACAGAAAACAAAATGCAATAAGTAACTTTGAAGTGAAAAGTCAATAATATTATCTATGTGCACAAAGTATTATGACTGCGCTAAGGTAAATCTCATGTGCTCTACACTATGACGTTATAGAGCCGTGACTAAAAAAATCCTATAGCTCAATGACGTCACACAACTGATAGCAGTTTGCATTTGTGAAAAATTCGTCATTACAGCAAAATTAAAACTTGTCATAATCATTGTGTACAAGAATGAGTAATTTTAAAAATCTATAAATATAAATTATTTTGTGAAATACACACCTACTTATGGGATTTTTTATTACGTCTAAAAATTGTCGCTCACTTTAGGTTTTTCATTCACGATATTGATAGCAATGTTACCAACATTTGTGTCGTTACACACGTAAAAGTGGAATAAGTCTTGCACTAATTTGTGTAAGGTACAAGTACCTTTGATAGTTGACCTAGACTACCTAGCATGCTATTTACAGTACTTAATTTTGGAAAAAAAATTAAACCTTTAATGTACCAGCTGTACTTTTGACCTTTTATACGCCTCCAATAGCCTATTTTTCAAGCATGTTGTAGCTCATAATAAAGTGTCATATCATTATACACTCTAAAACAGCGAGATGAGAACCAAAAACCTAAAGCGACTTCGTCTCATTAAAGACCGACCAAATACAAAATGGTACAAAATACTAAGTAATTGGGTACAAATTGCTTTTGGCACTACTAAGACACAATTTGAAGGTATTAAGGTTCGAATTGCTTAGGATTATAATTACATACATTCTCTACAGGCCTACCGCTTAACTGAGTCGGTTCCTGAGGTAGCTGCGCAGTGCGGGAGGAGTGACAGTTTACGTAACAGTTATGTCGAGCTGCACACGGTATAATTTTAACAAGGGTTTTCTTACGATATTCAATAACAAGTCGATTGAAAAAAGTGCCTACCAAATTAGTCAAATGTGAAACGATAATAAAGAAACTATTTCATTTAGCACTTTTTTCATTCTATTTGTTTGTGAATGTCGCCAGAAAAATCTTCTTGAAATTATCCTGTGTGT